CGGTATGTTACCCGTCTGGGGTTTTCCGGCTGCAGAAAGGAGAATGGCTGGCTTCTTCCTGTGAGGGAAATTGATTGCTTGGCGTTGAGTGCACGGCTCCAAATTCATACTTAGGACTTAAGTCGTTAAGCTGTTTTCGAAGCAAAGTCATCGAATGGGACCGAAGCACTTACAGAACGACGCTGGTTCAGAAAAGGTCAGGTCGGAGCCCATCTGGAGACACCAGCTCGTCGCGGAGCGATTCGAACAATAATTTGTTCCCGCCAAAGTGACATTTTTTCCAATTTGAGTCCAACATTGTTCAGAGGCAAGTGCCGCCGTCCCCTGGGGCCTCCCTCGTAGATCTGCCGTGGACAGCAAACCAACAGTATCATCTAAATAAAAAATCCAGCGCGGGCTTAGTAAATGAATCCTGACAAGAATCAATTGAATAATCTGAGGGATGCGGCGAGAGCTCTGATTCTGCCAGACGGCTTCTCCGGCCGCTCGTGTGGGTCCTCAGTGGCCGCTCGGAAACAAAAACCTGCCTTTGGTTGATTGATGTTGTTCGTTTGTTGATTAACACCTGCGACTCCTGCGTGGGTAAATCAGAATGGGATGTGCACCCATCCCTGTGAACTCAACACATTTTCAGTGGAGGAAAGTGAGGACGTGCGCGCCTCCCCTGGGCAGGAAGTGACAGGGCCACCCTTTCTTACCTTGTGTCTAGATGGCATCTCCTAGGTTTAAAAAAAATCCATGCTCTGCATCAGTCGCGTACTGAGTTCCTGTCCACTTTCTCTTTATGTCTCTTAGAGGATGACTTCAAAGAGAGTTCTTAGTAAGAGAAAGGGGCGTTTTGCTGCCTCCATGTCCAAGGTCAGTCGGAGACCTCAGCCATGAAATTAGGAGTGTGAGTGAGAACAGCCGTGAGCTCATGTCCTAGGACTGTTCCTTACAGATTGCCTGGGCCTCTTGTCTAATCTGCTTGGGCTGCCCTGACAGAGCACCACACACTGGGCGGCTTAAACAACAGAAACATATTTCTCACAGTTCTGGAGGGTGGAAGTTCAAGATCAAGGTGCCAGCAGGGCAGGGGTCTGCTGAGGGCCCTCTTCCTGACTTGCAGGTGGCCACTGTCCCTCCGTGTCCTCACATGCCCTGTGCTCAGTGTGTGCAGTGTGTGCATGCAAAGATGGATGGATGGATGGATGGATGGATGGATGGATGGATGGAAAGATAGAGCCTCTCTGGTCTCTCATCAGGGCACTAATCCTATCAGATCAGGGTCCCACCCTTCTGACCTCGTTACATGACTTCCTTCCTTAGAGGCCCCTCTTCATCACGCAGCCACACTGGGAGTTAGGTCTTCAACCTGCGCCTGTGGGGATACAAACATTCAACCCGTGTACTTGTTAAACTGCCGATTCCGATTCAGGATCTCTGGGGTAAAGACTGAGGCCCTACATTTGAACACACTCCCCGATGACAGCATAGCTGGTGGGGTGTAGACCCCACTTTGAATAGCAGGCGCTTCACCTCACCCCTGTTACAGATGAGGGGACCGAGGCTTTGCAAAGGAAAGACACGTACCCGGGACAGCACGGCTTTTCGCTGTGGAGCCACAGTTCTGGTGTGGGAATTGGACAGCAGGATGGGGTTGCTTAGGAACTGAGCACTGCCCTGTAGAATCCCAGCCTTGAGCCCACAGCAGAATCCCCTGGAGGGCCTGCTAACACCCAGATGTCTGGTCCCTTGTTCCAGAGTTTCCAATTCACTATGTCAGGGATCGGGCCCAAGACTGCATTTTTAACAAGTTCCCAGGTGCTGCTGGTGCTGCTGATTGGGGGAGCAAACTTTGAGAAGTACAGCTGCACCTGTTCTCTAGTTGGTTCTGCTCTAGGGTGACCCTCCATGCCCGTCACGAGAAATACTGTGGCCCAAATTACCCAGACTGAACATCACTCCTTGGTTCAAATCAATAAAATCACCTGCAAGGAATGGAAAGTGCCGGGGTTAGCAGCCTCTTCTAGGTATAGATATAAGCTCCGGGGTGAGCTGCCTCATCACTCATCTCAGTTTTCATATGGTTAAAAACGAGATAATACCAGCCTTGCCTGGCTGTGGGGGGATAGAGACAAGTGTGAAAGCCTAGGACGGTTCTGGCACCAAAGCAGCATTCAGCCATCGTTTGCTGTTTCGATCCCACTTTGCCGATGTTACAAGTCCGTTACGTGGAAAACAAAATCTTCACCATTTTGTTCCACGTGTGAGTCACACAGACCTGGAATTTGCTCTGTTTGACAAATCACTATGGTAACAGTCTTCCACTTCTATCGTCCCTGTGCTGATGAGGCATCAGGAGAGTAAAGCCAACTACTTCTTGCTGAGAGAATAAACATTTCGATAGACTTAACTGACCCAAAGCTGAGCCCCCATTGTTTGAAGACCCCGACACCATCCGGCCATAGTCCCTGCCTCTCCACCGCTAGCATGCTTAGCCCAGAAGCCCTGGCATGGTCTTTGACCTTCAACTTAACCTCCCGTTCCACATCCAGTCTCTGAAGACATCTGTTGACTCCATCCAGACTTGGACTTTCCCCATCGCTTCTCCTCCCACCAGCCTCCCCAGCCATCGTCCTCTGACAGCTGGACCCCTGCAGGAGCCCCCAAACTGGTCTCCTCACCTGCCTTCTTGATTCTCAACTGTCTATTCTGTTAAGACTGATGTCAGATCATGTCTCTCTTCAAAGCCTCTGCATGAAAACAAAATTGCTGGTGGGGATGTGGAGCAATTGGAACACTCGTGCACTGCTGGTGGGAAGGTAAACTGGTGCAGCCTCTGTGGGGAATAGTATGACGGTTTCTACAACCATTCGCCATGGACTTAGCCTATGACCCAGCAATTCCACGTCTGGGCCTCTAAGCAAAAGAATTGAGAGCAGGGACTTGAAGAGATACGTGTACAGGTGGAAACAACCCAGTATCTATCGATGGATGATGAGTGGATGAACCAAGTGAGGTCTATGCATACAATGAGAGTGAAGAACTTCACTTGAAAAGGAATGAATTCGGACACATGGTACTGCATGGATGAGCCTCGGATGAAGACATTACGCTAAAGGAAAGGAACCAGACACAAAACACCTAATATTGGATGGTTCCTTTTCTGTGAATGTTATAGACTTGAATTCAGCTTTACCCCCAAATTCATAGGTTGAAGCCCTAACCTCCAGCGTGGCTGTATTTGGATACTGGGTGTTAGGAACGTGATGAAGGTTAAATAGGGTCATAAGTGAGGGCCCTGATCCAATAGGACTGGTGTCCTTGTAAGAAAAGGTGGGGTCCCCAGAGCTGTCCCTCTCTCCACGCACACAGAGGTGAGACCATGTGAGGGCACAGGAGAAGGTGGCCCCCTGCAAGCCTGAAGGCAGTCCCACCAGAAACCAACCATAACGGCACCTTGATCTTGGACTTCTAGCTTCCAGCATTGTGAGAAAATAAATTTTTGTCTAAGCCACCCAGGCTGTGGGATTTTGTTATGGCGGCCCTAGCAGAGTGACACAATGAGGTCTCTACAGCAGTCAAATTCATCGAGACAGAAAGTAGAATGGTGGCTGTCAGGGGCTGAGGGGGGCGGGGGGAGTGCACAGTCATTGCTTAATGGGGGCAGAGGTTCAGTTGGGGAAGATGAAAAACATTGGAGATGGATTTTGGTGAAGGTTGCACAACAGGGTGATTGTACCTCATGCCACTGAACTGTACACTAAAAAAAAAACAGTCAAAATTGCAAATGTTATGTGTATTTTATCAAAATAAGAAAAAAAGGTAATTCTACATGGTTCTTTACTGCACAGAATAAAAGCCAGTGTCCTCCTCTGATCTCATCTCCCACTGTTTTCCTAATTTACTTCCCTCCAGCCTCAGAGGCCGCATCTTCCAGCTTGACTGTGTCCAATGCATTTGCCCCCAGAAGCTACTTCCCCGTGTGGCTACAAGGCTCATCCGTAACTTCCTTCAAGCCTTTACCCAGTGGCTGGTTCTCTTTAAATTTAAAAGTTTATTCTCCTCTCCTCAGCATTTCCCATCCTCTTCTCCCTGCTTTACTTTTCTTCATAGTACATATCCTCTTCTAAAATACCAACCAGTTTTTGGTTTTTCTGTTTTATTGCGTCTTTTCTGGCAGAAGGTAAGCACCACTCTGGCAGGGCCCACCATCGTGGTGGTAGGTTATTGAGTCTTCCATGCCTAGAGCAAGGTCTGGCAAGCAATAGGTAGTCAGTGCATATCTTTTGAATGACTAAATGAATATTCCAGTTACTTGTGTGCATGTGTCTGCCTTTCTGTCTAACTGGCAAGTTCCTTGAGGGCAGAAACCATGTTTGTTTGTTTGTTTGTTTACCATTACATTCCAGAGCAACAAGGAAAAAATGCATAGAAAAAGCAGGTGTGCGTTAAATATGGATGGATGGATGGATGGATGGGTGGGAGGATGGATGGATGGATGAAAGGGTGGGTGGATGATGGATGGATAAATGGATGGATAAATGATAGATGGATAGGTGGTGAATGGATGGTTCGATGGAAGAAAGGAAGGATAAAAAATAGACAGTGATGGTTTTGTGTTGAAGGGGAGATGATTTGACTATCCTAACTCTGGAATGGGAGAGAGACATTAAGTCTGATTAAAGGCAGTCTCTGCTGATGTGAACAAAGTTGACTGGGATCATATTATTTTATGAGCCATCAGTGTCTCTTGGTTGCGGCCCCTGATCCATAGCCTCTGCCTTTACCCCACAACTGCATTTAACAAAGCTGAGTTATGACATCCATATGCCTCTCATGTAAACACGAAGGCATACACTTCTAAAAAGCACTATAAAAAGCAACAGTTCAAGAAACACCAGTAGGAGCGGCATGGACTCGTTATTATTTTAAAGGGCATTTCAACGACAGCATTGAATGTTCCCTGACCATGACTCTGACCCCTGTTCTTTCTTTTCCTTTGCTTCTCCTCTCAGGATATCAAAGCAGACTGCAATACCTGTGTGGAAATAGAGGACAGAAAGGTAAGCCAGTCTTTTTCATCGTTTTGGTTTCAAACAGAACAAGAGCTCAGTGAGGTAAACCCAGCGGCTAAGGCAGGCCTTGCTGGACGATGGCTTGCAAAGGTGATACATGTGCTGGTACGAGACCCTTAAAGACAGTTGTACTTGAAAATATTTGTTTTCCCCCTTGTGATTTGTTGCGTTACTTCTGATGGTTTCAGTGAAGTGTACGTAATATAATTTATTTAGAAAACGGGCGCCGATTTTTATTTTAGTCATATACTTCAGGGAAAACAGCCCATTCATCCTTTAACTCCTTTCACATTTTAGTTGAATACCATTGATGATTATTATACATAATATGTCACATGTTACACACCATTATCTAATGTTACGTGCATTATAGAATATATAATATTAG